TATGGGTGGGTAACAACCTCACTTTGGCAATTAGCAAACATAGATAGTTTAATTATATTGACCAATCTCCTCTCCAGTGTCCAATAGTTCGCCCCAGCACTTAGAATTTGGCCTTCCCTTTGTTTCAGTGGAGTTGAATATCTTGCTAATACTACAATAGTTCTGAATAAAGTTTTCCTCCCTTTAACTTGTCTGGCAAAATTTTTCTTTGGCAACAAATTTAGTTTTTTATTGTTGTAGAGACACTGATTCCAACTCACTATATTTCCAAGCTGAAAAGTAATGATGATGGAAGTAGGTTGGTTTTCTGGTTTTTTTTTTTTTTTTTTATGTTCTGATTAGTCTCCACTTTAGGAAAGGTCTCTGCTTAGTTCTTTGGGTAGAGCCTGAGGAAGAGCTCCTATTCCTTCTCTGTTGTTTTTGGCCCAACATATATTTCTCTCTCCTCCAAAGGGCAGAACTTTTACATTTCTGTATCCTCCAATCTGTAATGGGTTTCTATGAGTGCCAGGAATGAAGTTTTATTTGCTCTTATCCCTGAAATTTAATATTCTTGTTTCATAGGGGAGATATGAAAATGAATCCGGGCAGTTTTTCTACCATGGTTACTGGAATCCTTCTTTCACACCAGGAAGGAAATATCATCAACATTCTTGCCATTTCTTTCTTGTGAACTTTTGGTGAGATTCTGAGGGAAAACTATGCAAAGACTGCAAACATTGTTTATTTCAGCCCCTAGCAGCTTCAGACTTTCACACTTAGTGGTTAACAACTTAAAAAAAATGTAAGTAAACCCTTTTTGAAATGTCTATTTCTCTCTGATTACCATGTTAGAAGTTGCTAGGTGTTTAATCTCCTTTGGGTGTGTAGGGCCCATGGACAAACAGTTTTCTGAGTTTCTCAGACTGACCTTACAGCGTAAGTGGCCTACTAGATAACCTGAAGCCTTGAGATGTAGTCCACATGTGGGGAAAGCAGTAAATAATACATAACCTTGATGTATACTCTGCATGCGCAAACCCATATTTCTGTAAACTAGGCTTAAGCATGGCCCCGTGACAACTTTGTCTATAAATCATATAAACACTAATAGGGCTCCTTGGGGGGACCCTCTCATGGCCACTCACTGGACATAGGGCCATTGCTGTGGCCGGAGCCCTGGAGCTGCTGCTGCTTCTGGAAGCTGCTGCTGTTGCCAGGTCGAGGGTTGTGGGAACCCAGCGGGTCAAGAGAGCCTGAGGCTGCCCAAGTGGGCCCAACGGGCCTGGCACCACAAGGGTTGATGGTGCTGCTACCACCCAAGCCACTGGGTCAGACTACTTCTATCAGGTCAGCAGAACAAATAATGCTGTTGCTGCTACCTATGTATCTCCTGTTGCTGTAATAAAGACTTGTTCCTGCTCCCCATACTTGGGCTTTGGAACCTGCTTTCTCATCTGCAGCAACCTGGCAAGCTTGTAATTGAGGCCCTACTGGGTGCTACTATCTTTCCTTAAATTCTGGGTTTCTTTTTTTGTAACAGTGTAATCTACATTGAAAGAGGAGGTTTCCTGGTCCCTGTCCCACCTAGTGGGGGGTGGAGCTAAGCAGCAAGGGGAGGGTAAAGAGGGCAGAGAGTGTGGCCTTGAAGGAGGCATGTGGAGCAGAGAGACATGTGAAGACCTTGACCTTGACCTTGGACTTGCACCAGGGACTCAGGGGACATACAAGGAGACACCTGAAAGAGACATGGGTGAGAGACCCATGGGAAGGCTGCAATGGCAGCATTTATCTTGGCTTGTATTTTGATTTTGCAACTTTCCTTCCAGACTTCCCTGGCCTCTTCGGGCCCTCTTCATGGGTCCCCACTAGAAGGTGCCTTAGGATTGTGGAAAGCTTTCAGTCCTCAGTGGCCCTAAATAAGGCAACATTTTTTTTTTGGGGGGGGCATTTATTTACCCACATGGAGATGGGTAATTTTAGGTGTGTTATTGGAAACTATTATCCTTTCTTCTCTCTTTTGTACACTAATTCTATTAAACTTATTTTCATTGAAGTTCTCATGCACTAAGAGTATGTTTTATCTTTATGTGACAGATGGCAGAATGTATTTAGAGCATGCAAGGTTTGGGGGTCCTGGCATGCCCCTCAATCTGTCCACTAACAGATTGTTTCAATTTTCAGTTTAAGTTCAGGGAATGTCACCAATTCCCAGGTTTTGGAGAGTTTTGATGTTGTATATGTTGATATGATGCTATTTCAAAATATTTATATCTCCCAACTGAAATTGGAAAGTTTATTGCTTTTGTCAGACTGAAATTTAAAAAAAAACTATGTATGCAACTGTTAGAAAGTGACTTTCTGGTACTTGAACACCTCTTTTTCCACCCAAATAAATGCCTAAGTGACAGCAGAAAGTACAATATTCTAAGAAAACTACTGTGCAATTGGCAAGGAATCAGATTACTGTAAACTTAAGTTTAATATCAAAGCATAAACCTCCCCATTTTTAGTAATTACATATGGATTAAAATTGAGTGTAATTAAAATTAATGATTATTTCTCTTAACCTTTCTTATTTATGTCAGTGACATAACACATAATTTTATTAACCAAATTTATGTGTCCTAAGTAAATATAATGCAAATTTTTATCTTTTACTGCATGAGAAAATTTAAATTTTTATTTATTTATTTTACTATTGCTTTGGGAGATTATTTTTACTGCTGGCATACTATGTGATAAAAGTACTAGATGCACTAAAGTGTTTTTTTAATATATATATTTTTTAAATATTTATTTATTTATTTATTTTATACAAGCACTGGGTACAGTCAGAAGCACAGGAGGGTGAGAGAATTCACCAGAGCCAGAGCAGGGAACAGAACAGGAAGACGACGAAGACGAAATACACTGCTGAGGGGAGCAGCGGGCATGGCAGGAGAGGTCTGCATGCCGTGTGGGACCCTCGCCGGCGGCCTGGGATTGAACCGGTGCTGCAGAGGCTGCGGGGCAGCTTCGCAGCCCAGCACTCAACTGCTGCACCACCAGGGGAGGCCCATGAATAGATATTTTTGTTCACTATCTACTCTGGGTTGAACTGTTCACATTTTTTGAAAAATATATGAATAAATTATCAATAAAATTTAACCTCGGTCCTTTAAACAACAGACAAGGTCATTAGATATACTGATTATTTTTGCTTTGAAAAAGTTCCAGGTAAGTACAGTTTAATGGTAAAAATTCAAAAATATAACTTTGAATAAATAAAATTTAATTCTATTTCATATCCTACGTTTTACAGGATATTTAAGTTATATAGTGTATTCTTTAACATGTTCAATTATTCATATTAAAATAAGCATTTTTCCTAAAAAATCAGGCTTTAATTATTGGAATACTTATACTTACAAATAGTCTGTTTGACCAATATCTAATCAAATTTTTTTGAGTTCATTTTCACCTAAACCCCACACTGGGCATGACACGAGAGCCCAGGTTTAGCAAGACTCTTGCTAAGTTAGTTTAGCCAGCAACCCCAATCTGATTAGATTGGAATCTAATCCTCTCAATATCTGATAAAGTTTCTTACCTCCCACCAATCCCCAGATTATATCTGAACTCCCTAGCCTGCTTTCAGGGGAAATCCTGTTGATGGGTATAATCAGAATACCCCTTTATTATTGATGTTTTCTCTTCACAATTTTTTACAGCCTTCCCTATCCTGTTCCTTAGCTATAAAGTTTCATTTTTCTTTGTTTTCAGAGTTAAATCCAATTTCTCCTATGCTAAACCCCATTACAGTAGTCCCTGTACCTACTGCCGTAATCCCTACTGAAGTTTGCTTTGCTGTTATTCAGCAAATATCAGAAATAAGTAGTTGTTTTCAGCAATATTAAACCATGTTATACTATCAAAAGTATAGTAGATGCTGATTATATTTTGGCTGGTTTCACCCTGTCATGGTATGTGAAGCAGTGAAATCTGCACACCACACCATGCTAAGTGCACAAGTTTAGAAATGCACCAAGCACATGTCATTTGCATTATCTTCAAATGTAAAAGAAATTGTGTAAGCAAAAAGAGAATGTGATATAATATCCAATGCAGAAGATGTTAGAAAATGTAGACATTTTTGCTCAATTAGGGTTAAACACTTAACAGACATTATCTCTACTTTCTATTTGTTCCTTCATGGCTGTATACTCCTTTAACAACATAATTAAGTTTAGCTTACATTTTTCTCTCCTTTTGTCTTTTTTTCTCTTATCTCTTACCTGCTTATACTACTTGGAGTAAAATTCCAATGTTCTATGAGAAAGAATTTTATGTTGCAAAAAAATGTGTAAAAGTTGAGGTAATTGCTTGGGACTTTTCACCAATTTGAATAGTTTCTAAATGAGTTCTGAGGTTAACTGCCTCAATATTATTCATATTGGAAAACAACCCCTACCCCCCAATAAAAAAATGAAGAATGCAAAGTACTCTTAAAGTTTAGAAATAATGCTTTACATTTAAAAGGTTTTCTATATTAATTCTTCATATTTTTCAACTTTACTAACATTGATAGATAATAAGTATCATTCATAAATGGTAATATAAAAGCTCTGTTTGTTATTCCACTTTTTAAAAATAAAAAGAAAATATGTATATTATTAAAAATGCAAATCTCTACTTAACAATTTTGAAAAAGTTAATCCCAATAACTATAAAAGTACTATAAGATGTAAATAATAGAAGACTAGATTTTGATAAATATTTTTGCTATGGTTATTATTAATATGGAAAGATATGATTATCAGAATATTCTCAACGAATATCTCCGCATAATTCTTATTCCTAGGAGATAAAGGAAATGACTGGTGGAACACTATGGAAATAATTCTGAAATAATTTATCCACCCTTTGGATTTCTCATTGAAGTCAAGATTTATCAACCCTTTTTCAAGCCAAAAATATCTTTACTACAGGTATTAAACATAAAATTCAGTTGAGTAAATTTTAAACAAAGACAAACTTACTGTCTTCATTCATGAATCAGGCGGTATCCAATCTAACAGCTAGAAGAGAGCACTGAAAAACTATACAAGGAAAGATATTTTATAAACAGAATGGAGGAGGAACAAGGAATTCAAATTAGGCAAAAAACAAGTTGGCTAGTTCAAGGTTACTTTCCTTTGGCAGTGATATATTTGGTAAATTATTTAACTAAGATCAGGAAATTCCTGATTGGTTTAAGATTCAATTTCTGGGCGACCCAAAGTATAATTAAGTTAATCTTGTTTTGGTAATGTGAGACTTAACACAAGTAGTTCCAATTTGGGCTTTTTGTCTTTAACACAGACTAAGGCCAAGAGAAATAATGAATCATCACAATATGAAAATATTCAAAGGCTTCAGATTTCCTAAAACAAAGCTGCTACTGAAAATATAGTACTGGATACTGGCTAAATTATGACTGATATTGGATCCTCTGATGCAATTTCTAATTCTTATTTAATCTAAATTATCATTCTTCTACATATAAGGACCTTGAGACTTGGCACACTTAATTGACTTGCTGAGCAGTCCACAGTTTTAAGTGCCTGAGAGAGATTCAAATCAAGGTGTGTATAACACTAAAGTCTATTATCTTTCTGCCTTATCATTCTAACCTCTGATTATCTGTGCACTTAAAAAAAAAATTGTTCTTAATTTGTCCTAGACCAGACTACCTAGCTTCAACAATCTGCTCTGCTATTTGCTTGCTGTGTGACCTTGGGCAAATTACTGTACTTCTCTGCAGCAGCAGTTTTATCATCTTTATAATGGGGATGATGATAATATAGTGATGGAAACTGCATCATACAGTGTCTTTGAGACTCAACTGCATTTATTCAGGGAAGATTCAGAATTGTGGATAAAAAATATAGTAAATGCTATCTAGGTGCTCTTACCCTACCTTCTTTTTAGGTCTTGAGCTTCTCAAACAGTTTGGTTATAAAAGAAAAAAGATAATTTTAAGAATATGAAGTGACATAATCAGATTTTAATAACCTTAAAATATCAAAAGTTATCCTTAAGTAACAACAACAAAATATGATGTTGAGTGCAGTTAGTGTGTGTGCATGTGTGTACATGTTTTCTGATGTCTAGGGTGCCGGGGGAATAATTTGGATAGTGAATAAAATTGAATATTGAGATAGAAAACTGAAAACTTTAAAGAGACGAGAAGCAAAGAGAAACTTCCTTTCATTTCTGAGGATGAGATCAAATAATGCAAGTGCAACATTTAGAAGAATAACTGGCATATAGTAAGTATTCAATAAATGGTAGCTATTATTTTTGTACATTACTCATCATTATACCACTCTAGTGTTTAATAAAATACCTAATATTAGGCACTCAATATAAACCTGTTAAGTTGTGTGAAAAGGTTGTAGCAATAGGCTTACCGTGGGGATAAATCAATCAATGCTCACATCTCTATATTTTCCAATCTAATATAAAAGAATGAAAACTTACCCAAGATGATTATTTTAATTTGAAATTTGTCACTGATATGGGCATTTTTCTAACAATAGATAATGAATTGAAATAAATGTTGCCAAGGAAGTAGAATCCCTGAAACAACATTTCCTTTCAAATGATTATCAGTGGATATACACTTTTGCTTTCAGGTAGGTAAATCCTAATATTCAAAGTCACTGAATTATTCCTTCAATAATAATCATCATCAATATTGTGTTTTATATGTAAGTTCTTTAACCTTCTTGACATTACTGAAGAATTAAATATACAGTTTACTGCAAGCAAAGAGTTGTTTATTGCATAAGGAGTTAGTGCAGAGTAATTGATTTTATCTAATGTAAAAGGGATTAGCAGATAAGCAGTACTGTTTCTTTTAGTTACTATTCTTTTAGTAGACAAGAAGTTAATTTTCCATCCAAAACAGAGACTATGAAAAAACATTCATTGCTTCAAGAATATAGTCACAAAATTCTCATCCTGATAGAGGTAATATGAACATGAAAAAAAAGGGAGGGATCATAATATGTCTTGTTTCTCACCAAAATGATATATATTTTTGGAGTTAAAAAGGCTTTTGCAATCACATTAGAGGAAATAAAATTTCCCATATGCTTTCTGCTTCTTTTCTTCCTCAACAATTTGTTGAGCAATTATTACTTTTCAGGCACTCCTATCATGAAGTATACTGTAAAGAACAAACCAGAAAAATTGTTGTTTTGTTTTTGTAGAGTACACAGTCAAGGGACATAGGAAAAAAATATAGAACAGTTAATAAGACATTTGTCTGTGTATAATATGTGATACAAATGAAAATGTCAGAGAAGTAGAACAGAGAAAAAAATTCTTCACAAATTCCCCCTCCCTACTACTTTTATTTTACAAACAGCATATTTAATTCTTGGCATATCTAAAAGACATAAAATATTAATATAAACTCAATAGCAAAAACAAGATAATCAAATTTAAAAATGGGCAAAGGATCTGAATAGTTTTTCAAAGAAGATATATCAATAAGAGGTACATTAAAAGATGCTTAACATTGCTAATGATCAGAGAAATGCAAATCAAAACACCAATAAGGTATCATCTCATATTGTCAGGAGAGCTGTTGACTGGGGTGTTGAGAAATGGGAATATTATACACTATTATATTATATTATACACTATTGGTGAGAATATAACTTGGTCCAGCCATTATAGAAAACAGTACGGCAACTCAAAAAATAAGTAGAAATTCCACTTCTAGCAATTCCACTTCTGCATTTAAAATCAGTGTCTTGAGATATCTGTGTTGCGATCTTTTTGGAAGCACTACTTGAAATAGCTGATATGGAAAAAATGTAGGGGTCTATCTACACTTAGATGAATGAATATGAAAATTGTGGGAAAAAGGTTCCTTATATAGAAACGACACAGATATATATCAATAAAATTGAATAGTCCAAGGCCTCCCTGGTGGTGCAGGCAGTTGAGAGCCACACTGTGAAGCTGTCCGCAGCCTCTGCAGCACGGGTTCGATACTGGCCGGCCGGGCGAGAATCCCACATGGCACAGCAGACCTCAACTGTCTTGCCTGCTGCTCCCCTCAGCAGTGTATTTTGTCAGTCTGCCTGTTCTGCTCCCCGTTCTGTCTCTGGTGAATCCTCTCACCCTCCCGCACATCTGGCCTGCATCTGGTTCTTGTATAAATAAATAAATCTTAAAAAAAAAAAAGCTGAAAAAAAATTGAATAGTCCTTAGAATAAGAAAATCCCTCCATTGGTAGGAACATGAATAAACCTGGGGGACAGTATTTAACTGAAATAAGCCAGAAAGAGAAAGACAAATTCTGTATGATCTCACTCATACATGCAATAAACACATACACACATGAAATAGTTGAACTCAATGAAACAGAGTATGATGACAGTTACCAGGGCCTATGGGGTGGGCGAAATGGGATGATGTTGAAAGGCTTTAAACATTTGGATTTAAAAATCCAAATTATTTAAAAGATTTGGATTGATACCAAATCTCTTTTTTAGGAGTTTGGGGGGGGTTCTTTTTGTACCAGGACCCTTAGTCTACATTTCAAATTCTTTTAATTTTTGTTCCTTTGTTTTGAAGTTCAAATCTTAATTATTATTTAGTCAGTTGGCTGCCAGTCACTGACACCATATGTTTTGTGAAGTGCTAATTACATTGTCAGATTATACAAATGTTTCACAAAAATGAGATGATAATAATTTTGGTAAAATTGCTATTTTCAAGCTAGAACTATATGAATTTAACAAATGATAAGTACATAGGAAAATTGGACTTGTAGATCTAGATTTTTGACACTTTATCTGTTTAGATATATTTAGGGTACCCAAATATACCAATGGACTCTCACTGGTACAAATACACTCAAAAAACAAGCAAGGCTAACTTATTTTAAAAAAATTATTTACTCTTGACTCAACTCTGATCTTTTGTCTAATTATATTGCATTTTAATCCCTCTTGTGAAATACCCAAAAATGGTCACATTCATGTCATAGTGTTTGCTTATTATGTTGTCATGACCTTGCTGTTGGTTAATATCTGCAGACACCAATTATTATTGAAAAAAAATATTATTACAAATATTAAAGTCAAAGAGATTTAAAGTCCAACAAGTTAATTATCTCAGTAAACCTTATTGAATCTGTCCTTTATAACTATAGGATTTATCCTAAATAAAATGTATGTTTTCCTAGATCTATGTTCATTATGTTTGATTTCAAGGTTCACATTTGCATATCATTTAGTGTTGTTCTTGATGCAAACTAGGAAAAATAGGAAACCATTGGTACTCCAATGCTATTGGCAAAGGAAGTTACATATAATGCCACCTAGAAAATAAAAGTGACTTCCATGTATTTTATTGCAGTAATGAGAAAGTATTAACATAACTCAGGTCAGAATGTCATGACAATAAAAATAGTAAGAAAACTTTTAGATGAACAAATGAAGGATAATCAATTCTTGATCCTCTAGCTAAATGGGTATGTTTACTTGGTAAAAGTTATTGAATTTTCTGTATTTTATTGTTTTCAATGAAAAATATTCACTTAAAAAGGCTATACTACTTTTCATAAAAGAGAATGAGCAGGGGCCTCCCTGGTGGCACAAGGGGTTAAGGATTAGCACTATGAAGCTATTGGCAGCCACTGCAGCACAAGTTCAATCCCTGGCCAGGGAGGTAACCCACATGGCACAGCAGACCTCTCCTGTCTTACTTGCTCCTCCCTTCAGCAGTGTTTTTCAGTCAGTCTGCCTGTTCTGTTCCCCACTCTGTCTCTGGTGAATTCTCTCACCAACCTCTGCACCTCTTACCTGCACCCCAGATCTTGTATGCATAAATGAATCTTTCAAAAAAAAAATAAAAGAGAATGAACAAACATTTGAGAGAATCTGGAAGAAAGATTCTATTCTAGATTAAGAAGGTTTTTTTTTTTTAATTTTATTTATACAAGAACTGGGGTACAGGCCAGATGTGTGAGAGAGTGAGAGGATTCACCAGAGACAGAAAGAGGAACAGAACAG